AAAAAAAGTAAATATTTGTTTATTTCTTGTTTTGCTTATATTGCATTAATATACAATATTGTTTTCATAAATTGTTTATAGCTATATATATACTTATGGCGTACCGTAGTGCTCTATTTATTGAGTTAAATGTCAGCTTAAAAATACAAAACAACAATTTTAGTCTGTCTAGAAATACTCATATGGCTAAAAATATTGTTATAGCCTTGCATTCAATATAAATTCTTAACTAGTTTTATCTATTTATTGTTTATTTATTTGTTTACGTTTATTTCTAGATCCTAAGTCTGATAAACCTAAGAACAGAACAGCTACGTAAATTGTTGATAGATATTTGCTCAAATAGTTGGGAAGAGTAAAAGAAGAAGAATAAAGAACATTTTAAATAATCCTATTTTTTTAGATGTAGATTATGTTTGTCATGCTACCAGCATGCGAGTTTTAATATACGAAAAAAAATTAATAGCATGTTAATAACCTAAAATAAATTTACAGTACACCATGAGCAACCTTTTCTTGAGAAGCAAAAACCTTTTTTTATGAATCACTGATCTAGCTACAGTATAAAAGAGTTTTTGTACATATCTCAAACAGATTTTCATCTCCAGGGAAACATTTTATCGCAAATGAGTGTAAATTTGAACGCCTCATGATCGTGTGAAAAAAATGAAACAGTTATGTTTACTCACGATGAACTGCAACTGTTTTCAAAGAAATCGCCCGAAATAATTTCAGTTTAGTTGACCCAATAAAGCATAATGGCTAAAATCGAAAGTTGCAACAAAGTAAAACCGCACTTGAGAGAAATTCTTTTGTTTGGTGCAGCAAAACATTTACTGGATGGAGGATCGCTAGACCACAAACATGCAAACTAAATTGGCAACTGGCTACTGGCCAAAAGCACAATAAGAATGCCGAGGGTAAGAAAGATAAAAAAAAAAAAATTATAAATGAATTGGCTTCATATAATATGTGAAGATATGCGACGTATAACAAAAGGCTGGCTTTAAGGCTTTGTGTGATCCCTAAGTGACCTTGGCAACAATTGTTTGACATATCGAATTAAAATTGTAAAAAAAAAGAAGTATATATAACGAATATATAAATATGTATGAGTAAATATATGTATGTACATATTATACGTATCGGGCAGGTCAAATCGAACTGCTTTGCCGTGTCAATTAAACGTTTTGACCGCAAGCCAATTTAGGGCACGGGCTGCGCTCAGGTAAATGCCGACCAGGTAGAAAACAGGATCAGACCGAGCCAAGCTGAGCTCAGCGAATCAGGTAAGAGCAGCGGCAGCAGCCAATCAACATCAACTGTTGCTGCTGCTTCTGCTGCTGCTGCTTGTGCTGCCTATTTAAGGCTCAGGCTTGGCCTGGCCTTCAGTCAGTTATCCTTTGGCTTAGCACACACGCACAACATGTTGACGAACAACGAGCTCATCGAGCACTTCTACTACAGCGCCGAGAGCCTGGAGGCCGACTCCACGGAGACCATGCTCGGCCAGGACAACTTGCAGCAGCAGCTGGAGCAGTTCATGAATCAGCACGAGGACAGAGACTTTAGCGGCAGTGCGGACAGCTTATCCGATGGCACCAATAGCTGCTCTCTGGAGCTCTACTACGATACGCCAGCCGTGCTGGAGCTGGAGCAAATGCTCAGCGCTCAAACCCAACAGCAGCACAAGCAGCTGCAGCAACAACAACAACAACTGCAGCAGCTGCAGCAACAACAACAACAACAGATGCAACAGCAACTATCTGCAGGGGCCAGCAAATTTCAAACAAAGGCCGCGAAATATTGGCAAAAAACAGCGCGCAGCAGACCCTACGACTATCAGCATGCCTATCCGAGTGCCTCCTGCGAGGAGGAGCCGGAGGAGCACGAGAGCTGCGGCAAAGATGTCCTGCGCAAGCGTCGGCTGGCTGCCAATGCACGCGAACGTCGCCGCATGAACAGCCTCAATGATGCCTTCGACAAGCTGAGAGATGTGGTGCCGTCTCTGGGCCACGATCGACGACTCTCCAAGTACGAGACGCTGCAAATGGCGCAGGCGTACATTGGCGATCTGCTGACGCTGCTCGCCAGAGACTACTGAGCGGGCGCGGGCTGGCGAGGGGGCATCAATGCAACCGGGGCGTGTTGCTGCAACACTTGAACCTAGTGTCAACTTTTAAAGGCTGTTAGTTCATAAATTTAGCTGATAAACTTCTGTATATAAGTTAGGATCTTAAGAGCGTTAACTAAATATAAAATGATAAAATGAATACTAAACTGAGTTTGTTATTTATCTATACTCCTTCACAAAGACTATGTATTTTGATTGATTATTATTTAAGGAGTTGGAGGTTTGTCATGTGGAATAAAACACACATAGATGAAGAGCAAAACAACAAAAATAAATATAGATCCTAACATATGCCTAAAATCTATCATTGCCTAAGGTATGTATTGCCTTATGGCATATGTATATGCATACATATGTATGTATATAATCTAAAAGGGAATTAGGGGCGTGGAGTACAACCATATCTTTACAGC